TCATCATACACAAAACATGCACAACGTAAGATTTACCGCCTGATCCATTTCCAAGCGCGCAGCTCAGTGGCGCTGGGCACAGCCGCGCGGTTTGCAGCTCTGACCGCCGTCCACCCGCAGGCTCTTTCGTCCCCGGCAGAGCCTGCGCCCCATTGACCGCTGGCCCGTCCCCACTATCCGCGGCGTCTTCGTGTCGCATCCATTTGACAGCCGTCGCTTATCGAACGGGGTCCGGCCTGCGCCGCCCACGCAGCAGACCAGGGTCTCTGAGCCTCCGCCAAGCCCACGGCCCCTCGGAAGGTAAGAGCCCTGCCCGGACCGGCTGGTGCGGTGGCCTGGGCGTCGCTCTGCAAACCTAAGGTCCTTGGATTGAGTCCCCTTCAGGGCACCGAACCAGCATGTGGGCCAGGTCCCCGGTGGGGGTCCTGTGAGACGTTTCTGTTGCACATGGATGGGTGTTTCTCTCTCTCTTTCTCCCTCCTTTCCCATTTCTCTAAAAATAAATACATACAATCTTAAAAGAAATAAAAAGAAGTCTGTGTTCTGCGTCCAGTCCCTGACACGCCGGCCGCGCCGCAGCCAGGTCCGAGGTCACTGGAGACCGGGAAGGGGGCCTGGCGCCCGCCCCTGCCTCTGTGCCCTTCCGGCCCGTCTGGGTGGCAGCTCCCGGGTCTCTTCCTGGGTGGCGACCCGCTTTGTAACCGGTTAAACTTTAAGCCCTTTAAACACAGCCGAGCCCCACGGGGAGCTGGGCCCAGCACCTGCGCACCCAGGCTGCCCAGCGTGTGTTGAAACACGGCCACACATGCAAAGACACCCACGGTCGTCAGCGATCAGGACGATGCCGGTCAGAGCCACCCTGAGATCCCAGGCCACCCCCGGGATGGCCGTGACCAAACACAGGCAGCATCCAGGGCTGGCGGGAGGCGGCAAATCCGGGGCCTCCCAATTGCCATGGGAACAGGAAGCCGCACGGCCTTGTGGGAATAGCCTGCCAGCCCACGAATCCTCAATTCCACCTTTATGTACCGACCCAAGAGAAACGACCACCTCTTTCCCGCCAACGATGTGTGGACACGAGTTTATAGCAGCGTCTTAACACCGATCTGAAGATGGAAGGAAGCAGCCAAGGGTCCGGCAGGTGGCGAACGAGCAGAGCGTGGCCTGGGCCCGCGCCAGGGCATCGCTCAGCCGTAGGAAGGAGTCCTGGCCTGGCTGCAGCGGGACCGACCGCGAGCGCGTTACACGGAGAGCGGGGGCGGGGTCTCCGTGTCTGGTCCCAGCTGCAGGAAGCGCCTGGAGCCGTCGGACTTCGATGACAGCGAGCAGACGGTGGGTGCGGGGCTGGGGCGTCAGGGATCGGTGGGTGTGAGTGTCCGCTTGGAAAGAAAACGCTCTGGAGAGGACGGCAGTGACGCTGCACAGCCACGTGGATGCACTTAGCGCCACTGAACGGCGCCCTTAAACGTGGTCACGATGGTTCACCTGGCCTTATGAATATTGGACCACAGCATTTGCTTTCGAAGTGCACCTTCCTAGCCAGCCCTTCGAGCCCCAGGCTCAGAATTCCCAGACCCCTGACTCCGTCCCCGCCCTCCCCGGCACCCCCCCACCCCGCCTCCCCGGCTTGGTGTCTCTCTCAACTGGAACCTGCCTGGTCCCATGAGAACTGACTCAGACATTCTCTGAGGCCCCTGAGAACCCCTCTCCGCTGCAGGAGTAGGTTCGGTCATTGCCCAAGGAGCACCTGGGTGGGTCCTGCCTGCGCTGCCTCATGAGGAAGCAGATACTTAGCCCTGCGTCGCTGGGAGGCGGGTTGGTCAACACGGACGTGGGAGTCACTAGACAGAAGCCTGCTGTGTTCAGGACGTTACGTTTCAGAAACTTGGCTCCCGGGGTTGGCGGGGCGATTCCCTAACCCGACTGACCTTGGAGAGCCACAGGCGAGGGTGTCACGGGTGCTGTGCGGCCGCAGAGAGCGGGTGGCGATTCCCCAGTGCAGGATGCGGATGGAGGAGGGACGGAATCTGAGTGAGAAGCACGTCGTTATGGAAGTGAAGACATGGGACAAGGGCAGAAGCAAAGCATGAAATGGAAGTTTAAATTAGAAAACCAAAATTTTGCCCTCGCTGGTGTGGATTAAGTGCCAGCCTGTGACCCGAAAGGTCGGCGGTTTGATTCCTGGTCAGGGCACAGGCCTGGGTCGCGGGCCAGGTCCCTGGTGTGGGCGGTGGGGGCAACCACAGATTGATGTTTCTCTCCCTCTCTTTCTCTCTCCCCTCCCCTCTCTCTAAAAGTAAATAAATAAAATCTTTTAAAAAAAGGAAAAGAAAACTAAAATTTTAATTTTGACAGATGAGAACATCATAGTACTGAGTTGGCCAAAAAATTTGTGTTTTTTTTTCCATATGATGGCTCTAGTAGTACTTAGACTTTAATTTCATTCAAAACAATTTTGTCAGATTGAATTGTGACAGCTGTCATATCCGTGTGCATTTTTAAAAAAAAACATCAACATTGGTCAATTTTTGTGTACCCATTTTAATATTGATGAATGAAAATATGCAACATTTTCAACGTATTATGTTTTACTATATCAAGAAAGGTAAAACACAACTGAAATGCAAAAAAGATTTGTTCAGTGTACGGAGAAGGGGCTGTGCCTGATCAAATGTGTCAAAAGTGGTTTACGAAGTTCTATGCTGAAGATTTCCCGCGGTCGGGTGGACCCGGTGAAGTTGGGAGCCATCCCACGGAGACAGCAACTGAGAACAATCAGCGTTATATCCTGCAGGAGAGAGCGGACCTACTCGCGCAGCCAAATCAATGCAGGGTTGGTGAAAATGAAAAACGTCTTTTATTTTATGGAAAAAACCATATGAACTTTTTGGCCGACCCCATATGACCAAATGTAAGAGGAATCTGTCGGGTGGAGGGTGCAAGCCCGTGGAAGCGCTGACGCCCGGACCACGCGGCGGCGTCCTTTCGCGGCCTTTCCTCCAGGAGGCCGGCGACGTTAAGGGGCCCGCTGTGCCTGAGGAGAGGGGGACGCTGCCCGTTAGACCGTCCTGTTCGGCGTTTCCTTCACACTCGTTAGAGGACACGGGCCGTCGCCCCTGAAGCAGCTGATGGGCACATGCGGCTCCCGCCGCGCTACCTCTGCTTCTGCGCATGTTTGCACATTCTCACTTGAACGTCTGTGAGAGCAGAGGGGTTCTTTTGGGGCCTGGGTCTGGGTATACACACTTGAGTATAGAATTTTTTTTTATTTTAAAATAGTTGCAACATTTTCATAATTTTAGCTTTTATTTTTAATGCAATATTATCACCTTTTTAAACTAATTATTTACGATGCAATTCTGGCCACGCTGAAAGTAAGTGGTCTTTCTGCCATGGCTGATGTGGCTCAATGGACCGAGTGCCAGCCTGTGAACCACAGGGTCGCCAGTTCGATTTCCAGTCGACGCGCAGGCCTGGGCTGTGGGCCAGGTCCCCAGTGGGGGATGCACGAGAGAGAGCCACACGTGGATGTTACTGTCCCTCTCTTTCTCCCTCCCTTCCCCTCTCTCTGAAAATAAAGATGAAAATCTTCGAAAAAAAGAAAGTAGCAGCCTTTCCTGGAAACAAATTCGGAGTCCTGAGGACTTCCTGTCCACGGTGTGGGTTTTGAAACAGTGGCTGGAAGGTCTGGCTCCCCAGGGGACTCCCAAGGCTGCCAGGCGTCCATGGGCTCCGGAAGCGCCCCCGGCCTGGCTGCCCCCCTCGCCACAGCCTGATGGGTGGCGGGTGGCTGCCAATTTGCCCACGTGTCCCAGGGAGACAGGACCCGCAGCGGAACCGGGCGTCCCGTGCCCGGGGGAGCCCGCGTCCTTCCTCCAGCCTCCAGAGGGGAGGACGGGACCCTCGGGGGCAGCACAGCAGGGCGGGGCAGGGAGGCGAGGGGCAGGGAAGAGGTGCCTGCGGGCGGCGGGGGGGGGGCACCTCCTGCCGCTTTTCTGTGCGGCCTCCTCCGCGGCACTTTTGTTCCTGTTCAGGGTCATGTCCCGCGGGCACTCGGGACCGTGGCGACCCAGGAACGCCCGACGGCCGCCTCAGAGGAGCGAGAGCCGCGCATGTTCTTCCCAAGCCTGCGAGGCCGATTGGGGACTTGCTGTCCGTCGGGCTGTAAGCGCCACGAGTTCCCACAAAACCTACCAGGCAGCGGCGGCCGCCCTCCGCGCGCCCCGGGGCCGCCTCTCGTCCTCTCGCCGCCCGCCCGGCGTCCGGATTGGGGCGTCTCGGGCCTGGGGGCTCCTCCGCGCACCGAACCTGGGCCCCGGGACCCACTTGCACGGCGTCCTGCCCGCAGGGTCTCACACAGGGTCGCCCTGGCCGCCACCGGCGGGCCCCGCCAACCGCGCCCGGAGCCGGGGGCTCCTCGTGACCGGACACCTCCCGCGTCCCCTCTTCCGTCCCGAGCGCGGGGCGCGCCCCGCAGGGCTGCGCGGCCGCAGCCACGGCGTCAGTGACGCGCCCCCGGCCCGGGGTCCGGCCGCGTCTTTGTCCCCCGAGGAGCCGCCCGCCCACTCGGTGAAACTCCCGAACTTCTGGGTCCTGCTCCGGGGCGCCGCTTGGGTCGGGGTGGGGCGCGCCTCCGGCAGGGAAGGGCCACGAGCGCGGACCCCCGGGCTCACCAGGGCCTGCCGCCCGTGCCCCACGAGGGATGACGCCCCCGCCGTCCCTGTGCCCCGCGAGGGGTCCCCAGGACACGCGCGGCCCACGTGGCGGCGACCTCACCTCGTGCTCCCCTCCCGGTGGCTGGGCGCCGAGTCCCGCGGCGCCCGCCCGGGGACAAGCGGAGGCCGCCCACGCGCAGCCTGGCCCCGAGGGGGCGACCCGGCGCGCGGCCGGTCAGGGCCCCTCCACCCCGCGGGGCGCGCGCTCTAGGACCCGCCGGAGCCGGGCACGCCGCGGTGGGCGGGGCCGGGCATTGTGACGTCACGCGAGGCGGGGCCGGGCTCGGCCGGGCGGACGGACGGACGCGGGCCGGACGGGCGGAGCCCACGCGGCCGGTGAGGGCCGGGGCGGGATCCGCGGCGCGCGTGGGCGCGGGGTGCGGGCAGTCGCTGCGGACGGGCCCCGGGACCGACCCCCCGCTGCCCGCGCCGCGCATCCGCGCTCGTGTCCCCGCGGTGCCAGCGCGCGCGTCCTGGGCGCCCTGACCGCGCGCGTCCGAGGAGGGGTCGCGCCCCCGCCGTGGTCCCCGGCGCCTCCCGCGTGCGCCCGCCTTCCGCAGCCCGAGGCGCCGACCCAGCCCTGCCCCTCTTCCCTCTCGCCAGGCGCAGCGGCGGCGGCCATGTGGGGGTGACAGCGGCGCGCACTCGGAGTCGTGGGGACGCAGCCAGGTGGACGTCAGCCCGGCTGGCGGCGCAGGTGTCGGCGATGGACGCGCAGGGCTTGGATTGGCTTCTGGTCCCGCTGCACCAGCTGGTCTCCTGGGGGGCGGCCGCAGCCATGGTCTTCGGAGGGGTAGTGCCGTACATCCCGCAGTACAGGGACATCCGGAGGACCCAGAACGCCGAGGGCTTCTCCACCTACGTGTGTCTGGTGCTGCTGGTGGCCAACATTTTGCGGATTCTCTTCTGGTAAAGTCGGGGCTCCCTCCCGCGGGGGCGCCCCAGGGTGTGCGCGCTGCCCGGGGTTTCCAGGGAGGCCGGCGGGTGGGGCGCCTGCTCCCGGAGGAGGAGCTGGCGGAGCCCGGGAGATGCTTCCCCGGGGAAGGCGGGGGCCTGGAGGGGACCCCACTCGCGGTCTCAGGTTTAGCCTTCGCTCCAGTCACCCGGCATTTGCCAGGTGCGTGTCCTGGCCTTGGCCCGGGGATGCGTCCCGGGCCCCAGGGCATCTGCGTGGGGGTCGGGGAGGGAAAACAACTGAGTCGAGGGCTGCGAGCGACAGAAAGCGGCGGCCACTGGGGAGGACGCTTTGCTGGCCAGCGGAGCCCCCGGGATGGGCGTCAGAGTGTCGGCGGTGCAGGGCAGGCGCGAGGGCCCCCTCAGCCTTCTCTGTGGGCTCTGGGGTTTTGTTTATTTTTGAGTAGGAAGTCAACTTTCTGGAAAACACTGAGACTATTTTTTCTTGCTCCTCCCAGCCCAACTTCCTCTTTGTAGTGTTTGCGTTCCGGTGAGGAACTTGAAAATAATTAGAACGACTGCTGAAGCCAGGCGTGACTGGGCCGGTGAATGCTCAGAGGGGACGAGGAGGGGTCTTGTAGCCTCGCTCGAAGGCGCCCATAATCTGGCCTTTCCTTCCTCCTGGGGGTCCTAGGTCTCTCTGTTGGCAGGAAGGTTGGGGGGGGGGTGCGGGGCTGGTGCCATTTGAGTGATCGTGCTGTGTTGCTAATTGAATTTAAGTCAGTCTTATCGAGGTATCATTTTCGTTAAATAAAACTGCGCATTCTCAATGTACAGTCGGATGAGTTTTGATGAACCCCCCCATAGTCACCGTCACAATCAAGATGCGAACCTGTCCCCCCAGGCTGCGGCGCGCCCCACCCGCGCCCCACCCACGCCCCAGGCCGCCGGCTCCACGCCTGCCTGGGGCTTCAACCCGCTGGGGGGGCGGGGAGGCGGCCCGGGGGCTCGTTTCTGTTTAGCACAACTTGAAAAGCCCTGCTTTGCAGATCCCCCCTTCCCCTTTGGCCCCTGAGGCGGGACACCTCGCTTCCCCTGTGTAATGAGACGGCCTTGAGGCCTTGAGTCGAAGGCGGAGCGAGCGCGCGGGGGTGGGAGCGCGGCTGACTGCGGTCGGCCGGAGCGCGTGCTGTGCGTGGGGGCGGCAGCAAGCCCTTGCTTGCGGCTGGGCCTTCTCCAGCAGTGGACGGAACTGCAAGAGCTGGGTGACCCTGTGGGAAAATCCTTTCATTTAGAGGTCTCTCCCCTCAGTGTGCTTGTCATTCAAAACTGAAAAAAGAAAACAGAATACCCAATCTGCATCTCAGGATCTCGTTTGAAGGAGTCAGGAATTAAACGAGCTTCTTGAAGGTCGATGGGCATTTGACATCTTTGGACCCACGCTCTTTCTCTGCCGCGCAGCCGCGGCCTTCGAGCGGGCCTGGGCTCTCCCGGCGTACACCGGACGGTCTCTGTGGGATGTCAGCTCAGCCCGCGGGCGCGTCCGATGGGTCCTTTCCTGTGGACAGCATCCTGAGGGGCCCTGGGCCACGTCGCCACGGGCTCTGCGGCCCTCTGCCTGCCGTCCACGAGGCTGTGGGAGGACAGACGGCTGGCAGCGCGTGGGTCCCTTCTTGAGACTCCCTGGCCTGGGGCGCACTTGCCTGCATCTTGTGCCAGCGGAAGAGCAGGCGTCTCTTTACAACTTGTCCTAACGTGCGCCTCTCTGCCCGGCTGGTCTAGAGACCCCGCTGCTCTGAGGGCGAAGCGGATGCTCCCTTATATTTCTCTGTTGCTCCCGCATCCCGTCTGGGCTCCGTGGGTTGGCAGTCCATTTGATTTCCTAGGTTTAGAGGGTCCCCATAGGCCGGGCGCTGGCCAGAGGCTGCGGTTTGCACTTCAGTGGGATGCACCCCACACACATAGGTGGTGGGTGGCGGCGAGGGAGGGCCACGGGCTCCGGGGGCGGGGGACTGGGTCTGCCCCAGAGCAGGGCTGCGGTTCGGAGCGCTGGAGGGTGCCTGTCCCACGGCCGGCTGGGGCCGCGGTCCTCAGGCCTCCGGTCCACCTGGGACTCCCCGTGAGAGGTTTGTGGCGCCAGGATGTGAGTGGCTCCGCCAGAAGGGCCAACCACACTATGCAAACCCAGGCTTCTGAAGCTGGCGGCGGGGGGCGGGGGGGCCCTGTGCCCTCAGCTCTCAGCATCCTTGCCGTTCTCTTGCAAAACGAGCACCCAGCCGGTCGTACTCCATAAACGCTGATGTACGTAAAGCGCCGTTGTGGCATCAGAAGCCCGGATAAAGGCGCAGTGAAGCCTGGTGCCTAATATTTGCAAGCTTGTGATTTTATGGGGACTGGGGGAGGTGTGTGGGGAGGTGGGGTCTGGACGGTGCTCCGAGCCCGCCGCCGCCACGGAGACAGCCCTCAGGCCCACCCCTGCCGCATGGAAACACTGTCAGGGACACAGTGACACTGCACTGTGTTGGAAATGCAGCACCACTGTATTGGAGGTCTGGTAACACTGTCGGGAGGACGTAGTAATATTGAATGAAAGTTCAAGCAACATTGTATCAGAGACCCGGTAACATTCTGCTACTAATGTCTGCAGCAGCAAAGGAGGCCCCAGCTTCTCTGCCACTGAGATTTCTTCCTGCTATTCTGAGAGGCAGAGAAGATGTTTCCTGTGGAAATTTTTGCCTGGACTTGGTAGAACATTGCACGTCCCTTGCGATGTGTATTTCCCCAGGGGCGAGACAAAGGCGGTGCAGCTGGGGGAGAACCTGCGTCGACGGCCCCTCTGCGCGGCAGGCCCCGCGCTTGGCGGCGGCCTGTCCCGTCGTCCGCAGTCGAAGAGGCTGTGCCAAGCCACGCTCTTGGGCAGAGCGGAAGAAGCGCTGTCCTGACATCACTATTTAAGGAAGAAAAGCATTTCAGGAAGGAAAAGTTTAGCCCATAAGTAAAAAAATGGTATCTTTCTCTTTTATTTAGCTTTTAAAAACTATTAATGACGTTGGGCTTTGTTTCATATTTATTTTGTCCTTTGTGCACTGTCTGTGGAAAGCTGTGCTCTTTGGAACTTTGTGTCTGTGCGGCCAGCCCGCACCCTCAAACCCGCCTCTCACGGCGAGCGCTCGTTTTCACTGTGAATGTCGAGTCCGTCTTGATTTGATTCTTGGTGTGTCACGTAGGGAGAGGCGTCGATGGTGTTTCCCTCTGTTTCTCTAGCCGCTCATTGTTTCTGTGAAAATAAAAAAAAATGGGACTGGCCTTTCTCATGTCACGGCCCGAATTACACATCGTCAGCCTTGTGGCTGGGAATGAGCTGCGTGGGAGGGGTCCCCAATATGACTCCTCGCGGTGCCAGCCGCCCAGCCTGACAGGGAGCCTTGCTGCCCCTGTATGGCCTTTGCCTGCGAGCGAGTCTGCCTCCTGGGTCAGCAAAGTGGGCAGCGGGGGCCTGTTCTTAGACGTGGCTAGAGATGGCCTCAGGCAGCCATAGGGGTTATATCCGCCCTTTGGAGGAGAGGTGGCTTGAGACCGGGTCACGGGCCAGAGGGGCTGGGGCTGAGCGGAGCTGCCGCTGGCAGGCCCCCGCCCTCCGGGCTGCGGGCAGAGGAAGCCCTGGGCGCCACCCCCTCTTCCCACAGCGCCGCTCCTCCCTCACCGCCGCTGCTTCCTTGCTTGTCCCCCTGTCAGTGGGACGCGGCGTTTGGAGGAGCCCCGGAGCCGTTCCGAGGGGGCTGGGCCTGCTGCCGGGGGCCCCTCTGCACCCCCGCCGGAGTCCGGAGCCTGGCCGTCACCGGCCACGCTGGAGGGCCCGGGGCGGGAGCCGGGCGGGCGCCCTCCTGACCGTGGTGTCCTTGTCCCCAGGTTTGGAAGGCACTTCGAGTCCCCGCTGCTGTGGCAGAGCATCGTCATGATCGTCACCATGCTGCTGATGCTGAAGCTGTGCACCGAGGTCCGCGTGAGCAACGAGCTCAATGTCAAACGCCGCTTCTTTACAGGTGGGTGGCCAGCGACTCAGGGGCAAAGCCACTGGAGCTGCAGACCATGCCTGCCCCGTAGGTGGAGAGACAGCCCCCTCAGCCCAGTGTCATCGGGGGGGGCCTGTCGCCCTGCGCGGCACTGTCGTGTCGGCAGCGGACGCTGGTGTTTCCGGCATGTTTTACGGGACCTTAAACACTTTATACCGTGAGATGATCCGAGATAATAGCTGCTTCTGTGGAATCTGGGCGAGTTCTCAGCCGGCGGGAACGTGTTGCTCTCGGCGGGGCTCTCGCCGCCGGCGGAGCCTACGCCGCGGGGGATGCCTGCTCGCCCCCGCTGGGCTCCTTTCCTTTCTGTCACATCAGCTCAGAAGGCAGTTTGCCTCTGACTTTCGGTGAGGCTGGCACATAAAGCCATTTCCCCGCAGCCGAGAGAACTGGTGCTTTTGCACGAGCCGGGTTAAAAACTCCCGAGAACGTGAGCGTGTGGATGCAGGCGACTGGCCACCGGGCGTGCGCGTGGGCCGCGCGAACTCCGGGCGCGGCCCGCCTGCCGCTGGGCTTTTGTGGCTCAGGGAGCAGAAGGCGCTTCTCCCTGCCTTGGCCTTTTCCTCAGAGCACCTTCCGAGCTGCCCTCCACTTGAACATTAGGCCGGGGGCGTCCCGTATCGGGGGGCCAGTGCCTTACTCCCGCCGCTCGGCTAACGGCCGAGCGTGCGACGTCGTGCACTTCGGCGGGGTCTGCGGTTGTGTGCGCGTGTCCTCTCAGGTGTCGGTGGAGAAGAGTTTTCTTGGGGCGTGTTTAGTTTGGGACGCCCGTGGACGTGAGGCCGTGCCGTGTCCTTGTCCCTGGAGGTCGTCCTTCCCGGCGGGCGACCCTGCCCCCGTCCACGCCTGTGTGTTGAGAGAGGAATGTATGCTCACTTCAGTCTTGGCGGAAAGCAGGTCGGCGTGCAGCTGTGATGTGCGGCCTGGGCCAATCGGTGGCACTTAAACCGGGGAGGTGACCGCCCTGTTCCTGGCGTCTGTTGTTGTTTCTCCTCGTTGAGGCCGCCCTCCCCTCGTGGGTCTGGCCCTGTCCCCCCTGTGATCGGGACACCACCCTGGAGCTCGTGCTGAGGGTGCCGCTGGTCTCGCCCAGGACACAGGGCACGGGGAGCAGGGCCGCCCCGGGGACGGGCGCCGGGCTCTGAGCGCCCCTGGGACGCGGGCTGCCTGCTCCCGCGGCCTCTGCCCTCCTCCCCGCGGCCTGTGTTCCCGGGAGCCCCCCCCGGCCTTCGGCAGTGACCTCCTGGCCCCGCTGCAGGGGCCGTGTCGCAGTGCTGCCTCCGGCGCTCGGGGGGGCAGACCGCGCCCTGGCCTGCGGCTCCGGAACCCGAGAACGGACCGCGACCTTGCTCGGAATGCGCGTGGCGATGGAGGCTGCCAGATACAGCAGGTGTGGGAGCCTCCAGGCCATGAGGCGTCTGAGATTTCAGTCCGTGCGACCTCGCAGGAGTGCCTCCCAGTCCACGTCCCCTTCCCTGGGGACCTGGCTGCCGGGAGGGCACAGGGCACCCTGAGCTGGGCTGTGCGCCTCCCCGGTGGGGGGCCTCCCCGGGAAGGGTTCTTGCTGATGTGGAGTGGTGGACACCTGACCCTTTCTCTGGGTTTCCAGGGCTCTGTGTAAATTCTTCCACAAGGAACATTTCTGTTCTGTTCACGTGGGTGCCCTGGCCGCACATGGGAAGGCAAGCCGCTGTTTGCATCTGAGCTGCACCTGCTCGGAGTGAAGCCGAGTCCCCCCCTGCATCCTCCCTCTCCGCCCCTCCCCCACGCGTTCCTCCCCCTTCCCTCTCCCTCCTTTGGGACCTTGATCTTTAGACAAGGTGCCAGTGGATGGTGAAATCCACCTAAATGAAAAAGCAGAAGCAAGAGGCTGGGAAAACCCACAGGGCAGGCAGAGTCCAGCGCCAGTGCGGCTGCCGCCGGGAGGGGCGGGGGGGCCCGGCAGTGTGGCGTGGGTGGTGCCGGGGGCCCTGCCACGCCGCCCCAGACCTGGCAGCACGTCTGCTGTCTGCTTCTGGCTGTCTGCTTCTCGCTGTTTGCTTGCCAATTTTCATGTTTAGGTGAGTGTCCACGACCTGGGGCAGGTGACCCAACTGTTGATCCCACCCGGCTCGGGGGTCCCCGTGACTCACTGGAGGTTCGCCCTCCTGGTTAACCGCCTTCCACGTGGGACCCCCCTGCAGGGACCCTCCCGTGGGCCCCTGCTCTGGTGTGACCTGGCCGCCTGGGCGGGAGCAGTGGGGAGGTCTCAGGGGAGGGGCTGCTGGCGGGGAGGGGAGTGCGCGCCTGGGAAAGGGGCGTCTGCGCCGCTGGGCCGGCCCCTCCGTGGCTGAGCTTCCCGCCTGCTTGTGCTGAACCAGCTCTGCCAACAGCGTATCCGAGCAGCCTCCTGGGGAGTTTTGACCCCAGGGCTGAACTGCAGCTGACTGCTGACCTCTGACCTTTGACCTCCGGGGGAGTAGAAGTAGAATCTGCGGGGTACCGCCTCTGACCTCAGCAGCCATGTGGAAATGTGGTGACTCTTCAGTTTTGGCCCCAAATTCCCTCCCCCTCTTCTAAGCGCTTCCTTGGGAAGAGGGTAGGGTCGGAGAGCGCCGTTCAAAGGTGGATTTCCTAACGCGCAGAAACCGAGGTCTCAGCCCTTTCTGTTCCAACGGCTTTTTTTTTTTAAAGGCGAAAAGGGCTGAGAGACGTGGCTGCTTCCCTGCGTTAAAACCCGTCTGTTTTGTCTTTCCTTCCTTTCTGTCTCCCTCTCCCTTTTTGAATGTAGCCACAGAGAACAAGGACGAGGAAACCAAGCCCCGCCCCGGGTGGGCGTATCCGGGTACGTACCACCCTGCATGGGCCGCCCCCGCGGACGGACGGGCCATCTCACGCCAGTGCTGCCCCGTCTGTCATCGCTGTCCCCTGTGCTGCCCGCGACCATGCATGTGACTCGTTTCTCCCGGTGTGGGCGCGGCCCCCGCACGGGAACCAGCCTGTGCCGCTGCACGAAGGCCCCCGGACGCCCGCCCGCGTTCTGCGTGCGGGTCCATGAGAGGGGGCGAGAGGGAGGGCGGGAAGGCAGGAAGGAGGGCAGGGGTACTAGAGCACAGGCTTTAGGATTCTTTTGATAAATTTATTCTAATGTAGCTCTTTCTTTTTGACGCGCTGGTAGATGGAATTGTGTCCTTAACTTCACTTCGGATTGTCTGTTGCCACTTTGTAGAAATAAAATGGATTTTCGCATATTGATCTTGTGTCCCGCAGCTTCCGTGAACTCACGCGTTGGGCCTGGTAGGTTCCTAGTGGGTCCCCGAGGATTTTCCACAGACAAGACAGTGTCCTCTGCGAGCAGCCTGCTCCGCCCTGGGCAGCCGGGCTGCTCCCTGTCTGGCCCCGGCCGCCCCAGCCCGGCCGGGGGGGACCGGGCCGGTGCGCCGTCGCGCCCCTGACGCCCCTCAGGGGGCTGCCGGCCTCTCTCCGCGGAGTGCGAGGGACTCTGTGGGACTGAGCAAGCGCCCTCTGAGCTGAGTCTGTTGAGTGTTTTTATCATACAAGCTTGTGGATGTCGGTCGCACGCACTTCTGTATCTGTTACGATGATCCTGGGGCTTTTGCCCTTTATGCCGTTACTATACTCTATCGTGTGGGTTGATCTTTGTATGTTGTCTCAACCCTGCATTTTTGGGATAAATGCTATTGGATCAAGATATATAATCCTTTTTATAAGTTGCTAGATTCCGTTTGCTAGTGATGTTTGCTGAGGGTTTTTGTGCTCATAGTCATAAAAGATACTGATCCCCCCCCCCGCCCCGTTGTGATGGGCTCTGGCTTCAGTATCAGGACGGTACTGGTCTTATAAAGTAAGTTCTGAATACGAAGTGTTCCCTTGGCTTCCATTTTTTTTGAAGTTTGTGAAGGATTGGCATCGATTCTTTGTTGATTAAAACATTTTAACTGAAATATGACATAAGCAGCACTGGGCGGGTGCAGGGCGCACACGCGGAGTCACGCATTCGCCTGCCGCGGCGGGGCTGCCGCACACGGCAAGCAGCATTCCGCACGTGACCCGGCCCTTTCTCGCGGTTGGAACGGTCTGCCTTCGTCTCTGAGCGAGTCGGAGGTTCTCAGACGACACTGTCCCCCGTGCTCGCTTGGCTGTGTTTCCTCTCTGGGGCTGAGCGCGCGTTTGTCACATTGCCACCTCTGGGGGGCGTTACTCAGGGGAGCGCCCGGGGCTGTGCTTTCCTTTGTCGGAAGTGTGGAGATTAGAGTGCAGTCTCAGCACAAGTGTATTCAGTTTTTCCGTTGCTTCGTGAGGTAGTCTGTGTAGTTTTTTCTTGGAATTTGTCCCTTAAGCCTAAGGCGTCAGGCTGTGGGATTGCAGTTGCTCTCGGCGTCCCTGGCACTTCTTCCCGCCCCCGCAGGGCGGCAGCGGCGGCCCCTCTGCCAGGGTGGACGTCAGAGATTCCGGCCCTCCCTTTCTCTCTCCTCTTTCTTCTGGTCATTCTAGCTACGTGTTTCTCGTTTTACTGATTTACTTTCAAAGAACCGGCTTTGGTGGTGTTGATTTTGTCTGTTGCTTTTCTACGCCGACTCAGAGCTGATGACACCGAATACTTTGTTTATTTCCTAAAAACAGGGACTTGCGCTCAGTCAGCCCACTGCACTGCAGGTCGCGGCCTGACCCGGCTGGTGTCCCGTTTCCTCCTAACAGAGGGGAGGAGTCGGTCAGGTGGCCCTTGCGTGTCCTCTTCCCAGGAGCAGCCCCCTGACCCAGGCTCCCAGGGGTCAGTGCGAGGCCCTTCGTCGCCTCCGGCCCCGGGCGGCTTTCCTGTCCCCAGCGCCTCCAGCCCGGGTACTGGTGCTGCTGCCTCTGCTCCCGCCTTTGCCCTTTGAGATTAACCCCCGTTCGTGGGAAGCACTTGGAAAGGATCTGCGTCCCCGTCCTGCTTGCGTCCCCCCCGACCTCCCCGTGTGTGCTGTCGGCAGCGCGGTCAGGGCTGCCTGCTTCCTGCGGCGAAGGCACCTGTGCGTCCTGCCCGTGGGGCGGGGCTGCCGCCGGGGACCTGTGTCCTGCCGCCTCTGGATGGTTCTGGCGCGCGGGCGGCCGCTGCCCGGTCCAGGATGCGGCCCCTGCCCCTCGTTTTCCCCTTTGTGCCTGATCAGGAGCTTTCCCTGGCTGCTGCTGTGGGAGGTGATTTTTCGGGGTTCCAGGGTCCTGACTGCGGGAGAGGCCCTGTGCCTGCCGGCCGAGCCTTTTCCCGCGTTCGTGAATTTCTGCGGCTCTGGTGGCCCTCTTGCCAAGACCCCCCTGGGTCCTCTGGCTGCTGTGGTCCCTTGCGCTGCCTCACTAGGAGGCTCCCTGTGGGTTTGAAGTGCACAAGAAGGGGACACGGGGTGCCTTGCTGTTGCCGCCTGCGCCGAAGAGATGAGTTATTTAGGGCCTGTGGTCGTGGGCGTCACAGGGCCCCGACCGCGGCCAGCCCGCTGCGGCTTCCTCCTCAGCCGCCTCGCCGCCCACCCTGCCCCTGCGCCCGGGCCTGTCCAGCCCCCTCCCCGGTGCGTCGCACCTCCGCTCGCTCCCCGGGGGCCTGGTGCTGGGCCGCCTCCTCTGCCAACGGCACCTCCCCGCGTTTATCGGCGCCTGCAGTCAGCCCCCAGGGCGGCCTGCGTGGGGGGGGGGGTAGGCTCAGGGTGGGCGTGGGAGCCCCAGGGCGACTGGGGTGTGGGGGCTCGCTTCTGCGTTGGAACAGGCACCCAGGGCTGCCTAGGGCGTAAACGCTGGGTTTCTCTGCACTGCCAGACTCGGGGGGGAGGAAGGTGCAGGTCCCGGGGGGTGGCCGGCCGGGCCCCCACGCTGGCCCCCTTATCTCCCCTCACAGCCACCCCACCAGCATGAGGTCCTCCTCCCTTGGGTGTGACCCTAAGAGGGAGCCGCTGGCTGCGCGGTCACTGGCCGCCCTGCCCTAACGAGGGTCCCAGTGCCGGGAGGCAGCGTTGCCGTGGCCCCGAGCCAGGCCCTCCCAGGGTGGCCTGGCCAGGACAGGCCTGGGCGCTCAGGCGCCGGGGGGGCCGGCGGGGCGCGGGGCACAGAGGCGCTCGGGGCCACCGGCAGCTTCCGCGAGGGAGGTGAGTGGCCGCCGGTGGCCGAGCCCTCTGCCCTCCACGCCTCCCGGGCGCGTGGGGTCCTGTGAGAGCAGGGACCGGGGAGGGTGTCGCCCGCAAGGATGGGGCGTGTGGAGCCCCCTTGGCTGCCGTGTCGTCGCCACGGGGCTCACGCCCCTTCGCTGTCGCCTCGGCTGGGCCCACCCAGCCTTCCACAGGGGCGGTTCTCTTGCCGCTTTGGGAGCGGGGCAAACGTCGCCTGCGCTGACGGGGGCCGGCCACACGGGGGCGCTGGCGGGCTGCCTGGGCTATGCCCAGCGGTTGTGTATCCGGCCATCGCGGGGAGCGCTGCCTGGGAACCCCCCGGAGCTCCTGTGGGTCGCGATTTTCCTCGGTGCCCGCCTGAGGGGCAGCGGGGCCCTGTCGCCCTTGTCGGCTGGGGTCCTGGGTCCCCCAACACTGACACGCAGCCGCCGTTCTGGGGGACGGGCCGTGTCATCCTACCCACGCCCCCTCGCACAGCGTCCAGCCTCCTGGCCTGCAGGGTCGTGCGACTGCCGGGCCCCGTGGGGTCCGCGCCCCTCAGGGCGGCCCGAGGGCTGTGTGATCATGTGACGGCGTGACCCCCAAGGGCCCCTGTGCAGGGCAGGTGCTGCCCCTCCGGGTGCAGGGCCACACGGCCGGGCGGGGGCAGCGTCCACTGTCCACCGTCCTTGGACCTGCAGAGGCAGCTTGGCACCCCGTGCGCCCCCCTGGCGGCCGTGGGGGGAGGGGCGGGGGCTCCTGCCCAGGACAGAGCCGCTGGGCGCTGGGACGGTCCTGTGCCCGGTTCCCAGAGCGACGCCAAGGCGAGCTGCCGGGCGCAGCGCCTGCACATAGGGCTGTTACCTGCGTGGGCTCCGGCTCCCGCAGGGGTGCTCCGCCCAGAGCAGCCACAGGCTCACAGTTCACAGCAGGCTTCCTCACGCTGACCTTGACCTCTGCACCCTGGTCACGCCCCTCTCCTCACGCCGACCTTGACTTTGCACATTTGTCTTTTAACACTGACCTTGGCCTCCTCACTCAATTCGCTCTCCTCACGCTGACCCAGACCGCGCCGGGCCACGTCCCTCCCCTGGGCCACGTCCCTCCCCTGGGCCACGTCCCCCCCACCCCCCGCGCCGACTGGGCCTGACGTCGCTCACGGCTCCCCCTCTCGCCCTAGACTTCGACCCTCGCCACTTCTGGCACTGGAGCAGCTTTGCGGACTACCTGCAGTGCGTGCTGGCCTTCACGGGCGTCGCCGGCTATGTCACGTACCTGTCCCTCGACTCGGCGCTGTTCGTGGAGACGCTGGGCTTCCTGGCCGTGCTGACCGAGGCCATGCTGGGCGTGCCGCAGCTCTACCGCAACCACCGGCACCAGTCCACGGAGGGCATGAGGTGGGTGCGGGCCCCGGGCACACACGTTGGTCAAAGTCAAATGGGTACAATTTGGCTGCTTTGTTTTCAGTTACATTTGTCAGAGAGCAGTTCAGGTATAAACACATCGGCCTTTTGACACGCGAGCCTTGCATGTGAGCGCGTGTGACAGGCGAGGAGGAGCTGAGACCCTCTCATGAGCAGGTGGCAGGTCACGGATCGGGGCGCTGCTCCTTCCGGGCTGTTGAGCCTGAGGCGTGCGGAGGCTGCAGCGGAGTGGGCTCTGCCTGCGGCATCCGGGACGCAGCTCCGGGCCCCCGTGTCCCGGGACGCAGTCGCGAGGGTGCTGGATTGACTCCCATGAAGCACTTCGTTTGCTCATGAACAGCTGTGCTCGGCATTGCATTTGAACTGCCGTTTTCCCCACGTGGACGCGTGCACAGAAACACAGCTGTTCTGCGTGTGCGTCTTGTTGTCCGCCGCCAGCAGTGCTTTGGGGGGAGAGCCCGTCCCCTTGGAGCTGCGGCCGCCTCGCCCCAGCTTTGGCTGACGCTCCGTTTCCATGCAGATGCTCTTGTCTGTGGCGTGGGGAGCGCAGCTGCAGCCTGCAGCCTGGCCCTTTGATCTTCCTCTCGTTCATTTTTGTATCGATGGGCATGGTGGATTTATTGCCGTTTTATTTTTTTTACTCTCTTCCTCTGTTTTTTCCCTCCTCTCCCTCCTCCTTAAAGCGGGCCCTTTAACGTTTCTTGTAATACTGGCTCAGTGGTCACCAACTCCTTTAGCCTTTCCTTGCCGGGGAAACTGCTTTTATTAATTTTGGCCAGAACGTCCATGACCTCTGGGTGCATCTTTGCCCAGGTGCCCTGGTGTTTTACTTTGGCGTCTCACCTGCTTGGCTTAAGGCCCTGAAGGCGGGGATTGTATCCCATTCCGCTGCCTCCCTGTCACCTGACGGTATTTGGGAAATTACAGCCACTCAGCGAGTGTCTATTGAACAAATGAATGAAGACGTCACACCCCTGGGTCTCCGCATCACCTGACTCGCCTTTGACCAGGAGACCAGCTGGGGACGTTTGTGGATGGGGAGGGTGCCCCGGGGTGGGCGCCGGCCTGTGTCCTCATTCCTGAAGAATGAGGGGTGGGGCGGGGGGGCGCCCTGGGGGAGACGCCCCCCCCCCCCCCGGCTGGCCCGCTGACACCCGGGCTGCTCTGCGGGAGCCCTGTGGAGGCCGGTGCGTCCCCGGTCCCCCCTGCCACTCCCGCAGCCCCTTGTCTCTGAGCAGGCCCCTGCGGCTATGGCCTGCCTGTGCGGACGGCAGGCCCGGGGTGCGGCGTGGGTGGCTTTGGGAAGAGCAAGGCTGCGGTCGCTGTGCCCATCAGGGCACGTCCCGGGGCACTTCCCTGCGAAGCCCGGGAATCCCGACCTCAGGCTGTGAAGGACGAGGTGTCCTCGGTCCACGGGGGCCCAGGCCTTCCCCCGCAAGGGCTCTTCCGCCCCCTTCACCTGCCTGGGGGGGTTGCTGGAGGGGAGGGGTGCAGGAGGGGGTGCTGCCCTTTACAGGCGGCCAAGGGGAGCAGGAGAGTGGGTGCCTTGGTGAGGCTTGGCCAGGGCGGCGAGGGGCTTGAGTCTGCAGAGACCTGGGACAGGGACCGGGACCCGCACAGAAGGCCGTGCAGGCCGGTCCTGCGCCGCAGAGGGGAGGCTGGCCTGCCGGGGACGGGGCCGCGGGGAGCGGCAGCTCCAGACTAACTTTGTAACCCCGGCCGGGGGGCGTGGCCCGCGGAGTGCTTGCTTGACGCTGTGCCTGCCTGGCGGGGTGGCCACTGGAAGGGACGTGGCCAGGGCTCGCGTGGGCGTGTCGGCAGGGCCTGGAGCCCTTGCCTGTGGCCCTGCCTGCGGCCTGCGTGGGGCCTGTGGAGGCGGAGGGTCCCAGGTTTTCTGTCACGGGCAGGTCACGTCCCATGACCTTGCTGGACACGGGGCACGCCAGAGCTGATGTGGGAAGGTGTCCTGTCCCTGCATTTGTTTAGAAGAAAACACCCATCTTCCCGGGCAAGTGCAGGCTGGATGTGGATTCGGAGGGCAGTGCCTGGTGGCGCCCGAGGCATTTATTCATTTTCAAAGACGTCCCTGTGGGAGAGGCTTAAGGGCGTTTCTGTCTCATGATGGCACACGTCGTGAACACACGGGCAGTCGGGGCACCGCTGCATGTCCCTGTGGCGGGGACAGCGGCTGTGCCGTCTCGGTTGGCCTCTCCCCGCTGGGCTGGCTGCGCCCGGCCCTTCGCGCCCGCCCGGGGCACCCGGCGCGTCTCCCTCAGCGCCGCCCGGTCCCGCCTTCGCTGGCGGCAGCGCCGGCCACTGTCTAAGGCCATCCTGTCCTTGCCGTCCTCTATCTCCCTCCCCAAGGGCCCCCTCTCTCTCGCTCAGACGCGTCCCCAGCACCTGGAACAGCTTGGCAGTGAGAGGTCAGGGCATCCAACTGCGGGATCCCAGAACGAGAGACTGAGGGTCCCCGCCGTCCGGCAGGGGGCATGTGCTTCCCGGAGAACAATCTCCCGTCCGCAGGGACGCGTGGAAGCTGTGCACACAGCGCAGGCGCCTGCCCCCACGTGCAGACACATCGACCTGAGCACAGACGGTGTGGAGCCCCCTCCCCCCCTTCCTGGGAACCGCCGGCACCGGGGCTGTGGGGACGTGTGTGCCGCTGGGCCACCTGGGGACTCCAGCCTGACATGCGCTGTGGTGGGGGGACCCTGGGCTGCTCAGGGCAGGAAGGGCCCCGAGACGCCCGCTGGAGTGGACAGGTCCCGTCAACTGCCTGACGTGTCCCTCGCGGGACGTCGTGGGCGCACACGTGTGTGCATGCATGCTCGCTAAGGTGGACACACGCCCTGCACGTGGACACACGCGCCCATGTGCAGTCACTCGTGCACACACAGGTACACACATGGACACGCAAGTGCACACATGCTTTTTTCTGTTTTGGAGCAACGGTCAGAGATATCTCAAATGATTTCCTTTTAAAAAAACGCTAAGTGATTGTCGCTTCTGAACCAGCAATAAACTGATGGAGCGTTTGAAGTAACTTTACTGACTCACACGGGAAACTGAAAGGCAGATTCTGTAGGACCGTTTGTCTCCTCCTCTCTCCGTGTTGTGTAGATTTAAGACCGTTCCCTGGCAGGCGATTCCGGGGGGAGCGCGGGCGGTGCGCTGGCGGAGGGGGCGCGGCCGCGGACGGGCGCAGGGAGGGGGCGCCGGATGCGCCGGGCACACAGCCGAGCGCGGCCCGCAGGCGGCGGGCACCCAGGGCAGGCCCCGCGGGGAGGCGGCCAGAGGGCGGGAGGCTGCCCCCGTGGTGCGTGTGTGGCAGGTGCCCCGGCTGCTGTGGTGTGCGGTTGGAGGTGCAGCCTCCGCCGCGGCAGCGGTGGGCAGAACTCGACCCCTTCCCGGGACCACCCTGCCCGCCCCAGCCAGACCCTGGGGCTCCTGCCCGATGGCGCATCACAAAGCCCCCACACTGGGCCTCCTAAGCATCGCCTTGACCCTGGAGGCAGAGACTGGGAGTCTCGGCTGCTTGGGACACGGGACAGGCCTCCCGGGGCCTGGCTGCCTCACCCCGCTGTCCCCAGGGTCTGTCTCTGGGTCTTTTTGACACAAAACAGGCCAGGAGCTGTGACTGGGACGCTCTGCACGCGTGTGCGGCTAAAGGCGTGCGCGCGCACTACACGCACAGCCAGGAGCCCCGCGAAGAGGAGGCCTGGAGCAGAGCTCAGCGGAAGTGCGGGCTCTCTTTAAAAAATGGCTTTACTGGGCTACAGCTCGCCGTACAATCCCCCGTTGAAAGTGTACAAGTCAGTGGATTCCAGTGTTTTTGGAACTGTGCAGCTGTCAGCACAGCTGATTTGGGGACACTTCCGTCTTCCTGAAATCTGTACCCTGAGGGATCGTTCGCCCCAATCCCCGGGCCCTGGCCCCGCCCTGTGACCCACCTGCCGCCCCCGTGGGTCTGCCGGCTCCAGGCGCTTCACAGGCGGGAACCGCACTTGGCCGCGCGTCCGCTGCCCCCAGTTTGTGCACGGACACCCTCACGGACGCCGCGTCCCTGCTGAGGGTGAGTCTGCGAGGCGGGCGACCGCCGCGTGTTCGGACGTCGGGGTGTGTCCCTTTGTCGGCCTCCGTGAATCGGGCTGCGGTGGCCATTCGTCGGCACCCTCCTGTGTGGGCAGACGTGTCCCTTTCTCCGGGGACGTTCCTGGGAGCGGACCTGCCGGGTCACACGGTCCCTGCTGGTCAGGGGCTGCAGGCTGTCCTCCCCCGTGGCCGCGCCGTCTCATGTCCCCCGAGCTGCTGGTGGGGGTTCTGGTCTCCGCCCGCCCTCCCCAGCCTCGTCGCCGTCTGTCCTCGTACACGGGACTCGTGTGGTTTTGTACTTTTCCTTTGCGTTTCCCTAACACCTCACGACACTGCGCGTCTTCCCGTGCGATCGTTGGACATTTGTGTGTCATCTTTGGAGAAAGGCCTGTTCAGGTCCTTTGCCTATTTTGAAATTTGGCTCTTTGTTTATTACCAAGTGGCAGAGCTCCTTGCATTTTCCGGGCGCCAGCACCTCGTTGGGCCTGTGACGTCCCTGCTGAGGGACGTCTGCGCCTCCTCGGTGTCCTGTCTGCCACACGGAAGGCTCTGCTTCGGCTGGAGTCTCACGTGCCTTCTGTTGCTCATGCTTTTGGTGTCACACCCAGGAGCCCGCCGTCTGACCCAGGGCCACGAGACCCTCCCCGGGGGGCGTGTGGGCGGGTTTCGAATCGCGGGCGAGCTCTCGATGGGTGGGAAGGGGCAGGGTCTCGGCTGCCCGGGGCGTGAGCGGCGGGCTCCTGGGGAGAAGCCCGGCGGGCTTCCCTGGCTGCCGGCCGAGCCCAGATCAGGTGAGAGGTATTTTAGGGATGGCGACCTGGCAGCTGAGTGGGGGAGGGGAAACGCAGAGCCGAGAATGAGGTCATGGGGGTCGGGATTAAAATGGTGGGGGTGGGAGAGGGGTCAGGTGCAGGACACGGCAGCTGGAGTTGGGGATGGCATGAGGGGCGCAGGGAAGGGGCTGCCAGCCTGAGCTGGGAGAGCCGAGCTGGGGCCCTGGGAGGGGACACGCGCCCCCCCCCCCCCCAGCGCCCCGTCTGCCAGGCCCTCTGTGCTCGGGCGGGCTTCCCGCGCTGGCGGAGCTGCCCCCAGGACGAGGCCAGACCCAGCCACTCGAAGTGGCCAAGCTCTGGGCTTAGTGCTTGTTAGGACACCCCATCACACTGTCGCTGAGGGCGGGGGCTGCGTGGCACCCCGCGTCGGGAAGAGCAGGACCCACACCTGTTGAAAGTCCTTCTTCGCTAACACCCGACTGGCTGCAGGGCCCCGCCTGCCCTGAGCCCCCGCCTGCCCTGAGCCCCCGCACGGCCGGCTGTGGGGCCTGGCGAGGCCACAGGGTTCCTGTCCCCGCAGCAGCCGAGGGCCAAGGCCTGGTGAAGTATCTGGGCGGCTAAAAATGTCCCTGAGCGTCAGGCAGAGCCCAGCTCCAGCGATGATGAGTGACAGGTGCACCTGTGCGTTCGGGGCCGCGAGCCACCCCCTGGCGCCCGGCAGGCAGCCCGGGCCCCCGCTTTGTGCTGGGCCGCCTCCCTCCCTCCTGCCCCCGGACGGGCACTAGCTGCGTGCCCTGGGGTGCATCACTCACCCCGTCTGTGCCTCAGTTTCCTCCGCCGTGGAGAGGGAGCCACGCAGCCCTCCCTGCCTTGTCTCAGGGCAGCGCGTGGCCCACACGCAGGCAGGTGCCGGCGGGTGGGGGGGGGCCTTTCTCACGGGACTCTCGGCTTTTCTTGTCGCGCAGGGCAGGCCCTGAGCCGTACCTGCCAGCTCCGGCTCAGGCCACGGCGCGTCTCCTCCACAGCCCCGGGCCCTTGGGAGCGGCCAGTCCGGCTCCTGCTTGGGTTGTGTTGTAGGCACCCTGGCTCTGAGTGACCCCCGTGCTCCCCGGGGCCACGCACGTGTGACCAGATGTGTGAGCCCAACGTGGGGAGAGGAGCCGGAGCCAGAGCCAGAGCCAGCTGGCGGCCCGAGGACAGAGAACATCGACGCGTCTTTGTGTTGACGTTTCCGGAACAGACTTCCTGTACAACGGAGCGTGTGGCCGGTGCGGGCAGCGGGCAGCCCGCCTGCGGGTTGCAGGATGGGTCTCACTGCGTGTCTGGGTCCTTAGGGGGTGTTACCAGGGAGGAGAATTCTGACAGAGTGGCGCACGGCGGGGACCGGGCGCCACGCCCCATCCTCCACGCCGACGTCGCTGTGGGCGATGCAGGTGGGAAGGGCAGGCTCGGCCTGGGTGTCGGACACGGTGCTTCGGGGTCCCTGTGGCCGAGGGCCGTTCTCCCGACGTGACAGTTCTCGGCTGCGCTGCCCCGGAGCCAGTGTTGGGTTTCCCTGTCCTGCTCCCCGGGGGCCTGCGCCTGGCACACCTGCAGCCCGGAGGGACGGGCCTCTGCAAGGCTGCGGGTCTGCCCCACGCGGGCCCAGCCTCTGCCCAGGCGGCTGAGGGGCCCGCCAGCCACCCCCTGGCGAGGATGGGGGCCCGGGGGGGACGGGCCGGCCCGGCAGCCCCTGACCCTGGCTTGTGTCTCCGCAGCATCAAGATGGTGCTCATGTGGACGAGCGGCGACACCTTCAAGACGGCGTACTTCCTGCTGAACGGCGCGCCGCTGCAGTTCTCCGTGTGCGGCCTGCTGCAGGTGCTGGTGGACCTGGCGATCCTCGCGCAGGTCTACGCCTTCGCCCGCCAGCCCCCGAAGCCCACGCCCCACACGGTGCACCCCGCCAGTGCCAAGGCCCTCTGAGGCAGCCGGCGGAACGAGGACACGTGGCGGCGGGCCGCAGGCACCGGCTGGCCGCCGGGCCTCCCGTGTGCGTGGGCCCCTGGGCCGGCGGGGCCTGGGTGCTGTGGCTGCGTGCGCTCGCTGGAGGGCGGCACGGCGGCGCCACCCCCGCCGGGGACTGCCGTGATTTCCAGGTGATGGAAAAGCAGGTCTCGCTCCCACGGGCTCCCACAGAGCACCGGGGACCCTGGGAGACGCCGCACAGCGGGAAACAGCGGGGCAGGCCACGGCAGGAGCGACGGGCCATCGGGAGGCCCAGCAGGCGGCCTCAGCCGGACGGGACCTGTCCGCCCAGCTGGGCCCTGGGCGCAGAACAGGAGACGGCACCGGGAGAGCTCAGGCCCCGGCAGGCGGGGCCCATGGCCAGAGCAGCGGGAAGAGACACGCTGCTGGACGGCGTGTACGAGGGGCTCAGGGAGGGACAGGCCGGCACGGGGCCTAGGGCCCCGGGCCTGTAGTCGTGTGGAGGGGAAGCCCCGGCAACGCACCTCCAGGCCTCTGGCTGGGTGGCCTTGCCCGGGCCACCTTCAGTGCTGCTGCCTCACACGACTTGGGACTCGGGCCCTGTCCACGTCCGGCCTGGGCCCGCAGGCCTCGTGGCCACCCTGGCCTCCCCCCGCCGGGGCGAGGGGTTGTGCGCATGGCTGGGCCAGCCGGGCACTGGCCAGGGCAAGCTCCTGGGCATTTGAACGAGAGGCTGGAGAGCTCCCAGGTCCTCGAGGGCGTGGCGGGGTGCGGGCGGCCCGCGTGGGCTCCCCAAGGGCCCAGGCTGGGCTCGCAGCACGAGGGGCACCTCCCCGCCCCCGGGAAGTGCATCCTTCTACTGCACACGGCCCCGGACATCCATCTGCCTGGCCGGGGGGACACTGAGTGGCTCCGCACCCCGCACCCCGCACCCCGAGCTCGGGGGCCTGAAGTGACCTTGCAGGGCCGTGGGGGGGGGGCGCGGCCCAGCGTGGGTGTCCCTGCCCCCTCGCCCGCCCACGTGGCTCTGCACACCCACTGCACGTGGCTGCAGCGGGGCCGCTGGCCTGATGCGCGTCACCGGCGCCTGTTCACCTGTGTTCCACGGGCACTGCCCTGGGCGGCCAGAGGCCTCGCGTCCCAGGTGCTCCCGGTGGCTCCCGTGGCAGCACTGTCCCTTCCGCTGGGTGGAGGGGCTCTCGGTGCCTTGTCAGCACTGCCCATGGCCAAAGCCCGCGAGACGCCTGCAATGGCTGGTGAGATGCGCCTGAAGCCGTTTCTCCCCTTACGTTTCCTTGAAAGCTCCGGAACGTCTGAGGGAGGCTCCTGCTTAGTTCTTTGGCCTGTAAGATGCTCTGAAAACATTTATTTAAAAATAAATGAAAGAAAATGTCTAGCAGTAATTGTTTCTGAATTGAAATATCACCAATTACTTTGGTGGAGACCAAAGTGCCTCAGGTCCTGTCTGTGCGGTGACAACAAGTCAACATGCTGCTCGAGGGCCCGGGGCGGCCGTGTGAGGGGGGTCCAAGCGGGGCCCAGGGAACAATCGGCCCCGGGTTCCCGATTCACCGCGAGCGTCTCCAGGGAGGAGCCGGCCCCAGGCACAGGCCTCTGCCCACAAGTGTCCACGTCCCCTGGGCAGGTCTGGCCGAGCCCCAGGCGGGAAGACAGGCGTCAGGCCAGGTGCCGAGTCCCCTTGTCCGCCCCAGGTGGCCCTGTCTCCCCACCTGATCACCATGAGCACCTGGAGGAAGTGGAGAGTGGGAGAGGGGCCTCCCCGCAGAGGACAGGACCCAGTCCCAGGGCAGCCGAGGGGGTGGAGGCGTTTCAGGGATACCTGTGAGGCGGCGACCCAGAAGATCCCCATAGGATAGGGCCAGGGAGGGAGGTCAGAGGTCAGGGCTGGACCCCTAAGGGGACTGGGGGGCTGAGCATCGATGTGACGCGTAGCTGGGTGCACGAGGAAGGCCTTCCTCCTGCGGGGCACAGCCCCCCGGCCCGTGGTCACTGCCCCCAGACTGCGCCCTAGCAAGCCCCGCCCGCCCCTCTGCTCCCACAACCTCCAGGCGGAAGAGCTGGGCTGAGGCCTGGGGACAGGGTGGCCTCCTCCTGGCACTGCTGCCGCTGGGGTGTCCTGGGGCGTCTCCATTTCCGCGACCCCAGGGCCAGGACTTGGAGGGTAAGCGCGAGGAGGCTGCGTGCCCTCTGGGAAACTCGCCCGCAGCTCGGGGTGGCGTTTCATGCCCTCCACTGGGCGCGCCAGCTGCGCCTCCTTCCAGGGCCCTGCTCGCGGCAACAACACGCACGTGGGCTGGGCGCGCGCGGCGCAGGGCGGCCCCTTCCGGCGTTCTCAGCTGCCGCCCCCCAGGTCGGTCCCTGTCCCTCTGCGCGGTGGGCGGCCAGGACGGCGGTTCTGTTTCTAAGGCTCATGAGGAGCGGCCTCCCCGCACGGACAGCCGCGCACGCCCCCGGGCGCAGGCAGGGCCCCCGCCCCGGTCAGGCTGGCCCCACGCGCGCCCACGTGCCGTCCGCGGAGGCCCCCGCCTCGCCGGTGCCGTCGGGAGCCTGCGAGCTGTCCTCGGTGGCGCAGGCGGAGCGTGTGCTGTCCTCACGCAGGGACGGCTCGGGGCTGGCGGCCCGCTGCTGCTGCTCCTTGAGCTCAGAGTAGGAGCGCGAGAAGGTGTGGAAGATGGAGGTGACCGGAAAGGCCATGAGCAGGATGCCGCTGAGGATGCTGCTCAGCGCCACCACCTGCCCGGGCACGCTGCGCGGCACCATGTCGCCGTAGCCCACGGTGGTCATGGAGATGACGGCCCACCAGTAGCTGGCCGGCACGCTGGAGAAGTCGCGGCGCGCGCCCAGCTCGCGCTCGGCCAGGTGCACGAGCGGCGCGAACAGGGCCATGGCCACGCAGAGGAAGAGCAGCAGCAGCCCGAACTCGCGCGCGCAGCGGCGCACCGTCAGGCCCAGCGAGCGCAGCCCGAGCGAGTGGCGCGCCAGACGCATCACGTAGAGCACGCGCAGCGCGCGCAGCAGCCGCAGCACCAGCCCCGCGCGCTCCAGCAGCTTGTTGCCGCCGGCGCCTGCGCCCGCCCGCGCCGCTCCGCCCGCCGCCAGGCCGACGAGCAGCGACACGTAGAAGGGCAGGATGGCCAGGATGTCGATGATGTTGAGCGGCGTCCGCAGGAAGGCGCACTTGCTCTCGGCCTGCAGCGAGCGCAGCAGGAACTCGAAGGAGAACCAGGCCACGCACACCGTCTCCAGCACGAAGAGGTTGCGGCACTTGCGGGAGCACTCGCCCTGGGGAGGAGAGAGACACGTGCTGGGGGCGGGGAGGCTCTTGCGCTGGGTTGCGGGGGGGCGCGGGGAGGGCAGTCCCACTCGGGCCGACCCCTGCCCCAGCCCGTGGAAGCGTCCCGCCGCGGGAGCGCCAGGGGCTTCCTCAGAAATGCCTAATTCCTGTAAAAAAGATTCACTTGGGGATGGGATCCCCACATGAGCTCAGCTGGCCTGCTCGCCAGCAAACAGGTGAGAAGCATTTAAAAAAACAGCCATTCTGGAAATGGAGACGGGTGAGCAGCAAATGCAACAGCCAGTGAAGGAAGTCTACGAACACGTGAGGGCAGGCGGGGTCTGCTGTGGGGACCAGGCCTCCCTCCCCCACCCCAGCGGCTGTGGCCGGGGGCCCGGGCAGGGGCCACTCGGCCGCCCTGTGCCCCGCACTGCCCCCTCCTGGCTTGTGTGCCCCAGGCCCTGAGGCCAGACCCTCCCGCCACCCAGAGACGCAGCTCGAGGGCCCCCCTGACGCCTCAAATGGAGAACAGGGCACGGGGCAGCGGTCAGCTTTTCAGCACCTGGTGCTCGAGGCACAGAGGCTGTAGGGCCCCACAGGGCTGCTCCCCAAGCACTTGCACCTTCACACCGGGCACTGACATGTGATTGGTCTGCAAGGAACTGGGTAGACTGGGCCCTGCAAGCCTCCCTGGGACGGGCACTCACCACGGGGACTTGTGTCGTCAGCAGGGCTCTGCCTTCCCGGCAACGAGCTCTTGGAGCCCAGTGCTGTGGCCTCCACGTTAATCACTGTCCGCGGGGTGCACCCGGAACCCCGGGCCTCGGGCTCGCTTCCCCGAGAGGCTCCCAGGCGCAAGGGTGGGCCCAGCCGGGCCCACAGCCTCTGAGGCCCAGGGCTTCGCTCCGACCCTTCGGGGCTGGGCCCTGCCTGGGAATCGAACTGGCGGCCCTTTGGTTCGCAGGCCGGTGCTTGTCCACTGAGCCACACCAGCTGGGGCTGGGGCTGGGGCTGCCTCTAGGTTTCAGGCAGGTTTTCTCCCAGCAATTTCTGGTCCCTCTTCCCGCCCCGAGGGCAGCGAGCCCTCCACCCCTCAGGCTGGCCGCCCGTCCTGCCTGGGCTGGTGGGAAGGCTGAGCCCAGCCCTGGGCCTCGTGAGGTGGCAGGCGGGGCTCCGAGCCCAACCGTGAGCCTGGGGCACAGCTGCCTGCCCCCCGGAGGGGTCTGGCTTTGCCACGCCCCGTGTCCAGTTGGGTTTAAGCTCTCAGAGGTCAGAGGGCATCTCGGGACAGAGCAGGAGCGGTTTTCTCCTGGGCCTGAGCCCATGACTGGATCTGGGGAAAACCCGGACCTACGAGTCCTCAGTCAGGACACAGCTGGGGCCCGTGGGGCCTGGGAGGGGACCACGCTGCGCCCCGACAGAGGCGTGGGAGGGGAGCCACCACCCTCAGGGGCGCGGCCGGGGGGGGGCCAGCAGTGGGTCAGGGCAGTGACGTTTCTGCCCGGCCTCCGCCCGATCAGAAGGAGCCTGACGGCCTCAGCCAGGGAACCCGTGGTGGCCCGTGGCCCAAGCCCCAGACACGCCCCGAACACGCCCCAAACACATCCCACACACGCCCCTTGTCCGCTGACTGCGCACTGGCCCCGTGTCTCCACGCAGGTGCCCTGCCGGGTGCGGCATTGGCCCCGCCAGGTGCGGCAGGTGCCCCACGGGGGGCTGTGGCCACAGTGTCTGGGGAAAGGAGGGCACAGCCCCGGCCCGTGTGGGGGCGGGTCCCGGAAGGTCCCCTGCCCCCGGGGGAGCCACCCACGTGCCCACCAGCAGCCAGATCCATCCGGGGGTCCTGGAGGAGACGGGCCTGTGGGAGCCCCTGGCGCCCCTCCCCCAGGCCTTTCCCGAAGGACCAGCTGTGCAGGTTAATTGTAGGGAGCTATTTCTGGAACTTTTAACCCAGAAAACAGACCCTAATTTATCGTAGTTTGACACATCTGGCCTATTTGGCCAAAACTGGGTCAGAAATAAATCTCCCTCAGCGGGCTCGCTGGCTCTGATGCCCCCTCCCCGCTGAACTACACTGGCCTGGCCTTTGCTGCAGACGCACAGGCGCCCAGGGCTCCGGGGAGGCGGCCTCCGGCCAGGCGCCCGCCCGGGCTCCTCGAGGCCTGCGTCCCAGGTGCGGCTGCCCCCGCGGCCCCGCCCAGCCGGGCGCCTCCGGAGCTCCACCTGCTCAGCCCGCCGTGTGGCCCGGCTCTGCTCCCGGGTTGCTCCGCTCCTGTCGGCCCACCACCGGGGTGGACGGAGCGGCCTGCTGACCCCTGCCCAGCCAGCCACGGCTGCGGGCCAGAGGGTCCCGGCTTCTTTTCTTATAATTTGTTTTCTTTCCAGGATGGGCACTGGGCCTCCTCCAGTGACTTGTGGCTCCGGAACCCAAGTTGGCCGCCCCCAGGAAAGCAGCCGCAGGGCGTGCGACCTCAGCGAATGGCAGACACGCAGAGGGGCTGCGGGCAGGATGTGCGTGTGCACCCGGCCCCGTCCCTGGGACGGTGTCACCGCTATTACAAAGCCCGGCCACAACAGAACGGCTCGGGTCGCTCCACGCCCTTGGGCCCGGCTGCCGGGGCCGGCGGCTGAAGGAACGCCAGGGGTGTGCACAGCGGCCCAAGCCAACTTTTGGAAAAGGAGCATTTTGGAAACCACTGCCGGAGGGCATGGCCTCCCTGGGAGACTGGAGTTCACTTGGCACTGTTTTTATTTTCTAGGGAAAATAAACGAAAGTTTGGGGCCCAGCCTCTCCAGGGACAGAGGCTCTGGGGTGGCCGGCGGCTGCCTCTGGGGACCGGCCCGGCCCCGGTGTGCGCCCACCTCCGGCTTCGCTCTCCTGTCAGAGCCTTAAAAACTCGGCGGCGTGAGCCCTGCCGAGGACGCGGCTGGTGCTGTTACACCCGGGGGTGGAGTCAAGCCGAGGGCGCGACGGCTCCCGGGGAGCCGGGGCGCAGCCAGGCCGCAGGCCCCCGCGGCCCCCGGGCTCTCCTGTCCCTCTCTGTCCCCAAAGTGTCCACGCCCCTCTGCTGCTGCGTTTTCTGACCCCGCGGCCCATGTCTCCATCAGCACATCACGGGCGCTGTGCGGCTCCCAGGACGGCCCGCGGGGCGACGCCCGCTGCACGCTGTGCGCACAGGCCCACGGGCAGCTCTCCACGCTGCTGCCGTGTTTACCCCTCGTGACCTGTGCTGGGGGGGTTTGCTTCCCCTAAGTACCTACAAAAAAAATACCTAACTCATCTCACCAACGACAAGCTCGTAACTCGACATTTTTTCCCTGCTGCCAGCATCTACCCTGGGCTCCGCGCCCGGACGCTGCACCTGGGCCAGCAGGCTCGCGCCACAGACCCTCCCATGACCCGACGCTGCCTGCCACCGGGGGCCTGGCCCGGGTTTCTGCTCCGTCTCCGGCTCCAGCTCAGCCTCTGAGGGGGTGGCGGGCGCAGCCGCCGCCTGAGGACCTGCCGCCCCCGCCCCAGGTCCCCCGCCCCGACCCCTGCCCAGCTCCAGCACAGCCCTGGGCGCGGCCATGAACCCGGAGGACGGGAAGGGCGCGCCCTGCGGCCTCCTGTGCAGAAGGTCGGGGGCCCAGGATCCTGTCAGAGCTGTGCCATCAGAGACTCTGCCTCCCCTCCTGCCCCCTGGGTCCCCGGGCAGGCCTGGGCAGTGGGCACTCGGCGAGCTTCCTGCAGGGGCGTGACCAGCGCCCTGTGCCCTCCAGGTGGCTGTTCGGGAAAAGCAAGACTCAGCCTGGTGCTGGGCGCACGGGCTCTGTCAGGGAGGCAGCGGGGAGGGTCCCACGAAGCCCAGGCCAAGCCTTCCGGGCTCTCTGCCCCGCGGGGGCCGCCCCTTCGTCCCGGGGCCTCAGGGGCTGTGCTCGGACTCCGGCCGGGACCTGCCTGCGGCCGCAAGTCCCCGAGGCCCCGGGGGGAGGGCAAGCGCCGAGAGTCGCCAGGACCCGGGAGCGGCCGAGACGGCCCCCGGTGGTCCGTCCGCACCGTGGGATGCTGCTCTGCGGTCCACGGCAGCGGCTTCCTCCATGGGAAGTCCCGGGGGAACCCGGAGGCTGCGCGGTCCTGGTGACAGGGTCGGCCTGCAGAGGCGCGGGCGCTGTGTGTGGCTCCGAGCGCCCGGCCCCCGGGAAAGGCCGGACGCTGGGCCGTGGGCTGGAGGCGACGGTGCTGTCGGGGCGCAGGCCCACGGCGGCGGCAGAGGCCCCCCGGAGGCTGACGCCGGGCACGGGCAGGCTGTGCGGGCAGACGCAGGGACTCTCGGTGCCTTTCTCTCAGTCCTGCTGTGAGCCCCAAACTGCTCCCCAAAAATAAAGTCTTTAAAAAAACTCTTGTAGCTTCTATTCTAGGCATCTGAGCACAGGTCATTTTTTTTCAGATAAGCACACATCCAAAACTCAAATCCCCCGTTTTTTTGCTGCCAAGTTTGTGCAGAAAATAGAGGGAAGGAAAGCCCTGAGGTTTGTGTTTACCCCTTGGCGGAGCCTGCTGCGCCCAGCGCCGCCGAGAGCCGCAGCATGGAAACAGGCAGCAGCTGCTCCGGTGTGGGCGCCCGCGGCTACCCGTGGCCTTGGGCTGGATCCTGAGGGGCGGGGGGAAGGGGCGGGGGCGGGCCCCCTCCGGGGAGGGGCTGATGCCCGGAGGAAGCGGTGCCCCAGCCGCACTCTAGCCTCTGTCCCTCAGCCGTCGAAGAGCCAGACACGGAGTGGGGCCCGAGCCCACGTGCCTGGGCCGCCGAGGCCCCAAGGCCACGGCCTGAGACGGCCACTGGGTTTTGCCGACTCCTGGGCGGGGTCTTCACTAACACGCGGCTGTGACAGGGCACCCCAGGGCGGACGGCTTGGCCAGCAGAGAGTTCCCTCGGTTCGGGAGGTCCAAGACGCGGGGCCGCAGACTCGTCGTCTGGCGAGGCTGCCTCCTGGTTCCCAGGCAGGCGTCCGCTGTGTGTCCGCGCGGTGGGGGTGCCTTTAGCGGACTTAAGACTCCATTCATGGGGGCTCCGGCTTCGTGACCACATTGCCTTCCGAAGGCCCACCTCCTACAGCTATCGCCCTGGGGGTTACGTTTCAGTGGACGAATGTGGGGAACCAGTGCCTGTTCTCTCCCAAGAATGGGCCCTGGATGCAGAAGCCCCTGCCGGCCAGGGCTCAGGCCCGCGTCTCGGCTGCTGGGGCTGCGTTCAGCAGGAGGGAGAGCAGCCTTCACGCCACGGCTCCGCGGAGGCCCCGTCGGGGTTCCCCGTAGATCCCGAAACGCGGTTTGTCCTCTCTCGGGGCCCAGCCTGTGGGGTGTCAGTGGACAGACGTCCCGCCCGAGCCAGACGCACGGACCGGGAGGCAGGCGGGCTGTGGCGCCGGACACGCGGTCACCGTGATGCCGAGTGTATCCGTGAGGGCGCTTCTGAGCGAGACAGACGGTCCAGGCGCTGGACTCCAAGGACAGCCAGTCGCCCGAGGGGCGGGGGGGCCTGGGTCAGTCGGCCGGCGGCCTGCACAGAGCGGAAGGGCTGCCTGCCCTGCGGTGCCTCCTGCGCCTCCAGCCTGCCAGCCGGGGTCTCCGGTGGCCGGTCTTGGCGCCATCGCGGTGCGAGCTGACTCTCCGTGAGGGGCACACACGCAGGGTGGAGCGAGGGGGGGGCTTTACCGTTGTTCGCATGGAACGTGATACGAGGACTGATTCATTACAACCCAAGAGTGAACTCCGGTTCGCGACTGCAAGCCCGCTTCTGCCCACCCTGTAGGCGCATCTCCTGCCGGCTTTGCTCTCTGGGAGCCCCGGCCACCGTGGCCTTGCGTGGCACAGCTCCGGCTCCGGGAGGCGGCGGGCAGAGCCCCGTGCACCCGTGGGCAGCCGCCCCGCTGCCTGGAGTCCCTCGAGGATTTCATTGCTGACGTCCGGGTCCTGAAATCTATACCTAATTATGCGGGTCTTGATTGAACTGTGTGAGCTGAAGAGGAAAATGGACTCTCAGACCAGACCCCAGCGCAGCGAGGGGACATGGCGCCTCCACGCAGACAGACCCGCCCTGCGGACCACGAGGCGACCGCGCGAGGCCCGGTGGAGCTCCGCGCTGTCTCGGAGCAGCGCCCCGGCCGCCGCACCGCGGGATCCCCGAGCCGTTTGCTGGGGCACCGGCTTCTGCCCCGCCCTCCGCCGGCTCTGAGGGCCTCTCCCCCAGGTGCCACGTGGGCACCGTCGTCACGAACTGCACCCTGGCACGACCCTGACCTCCTCTGGCTGCAGCGAGAGCACTGGGCCCGTCACTGTCATTGTCAACAAACTTCGCTCCAGACACTTGTTCGCAGGAGGATCGACACCCGCTTTCCGGGCGGCTCCACAGCGACCGGGGCACTGTCTCACCTGCGAGCTCGCCCAGGAGGCGCCGGGCTCTGAGCAGGGCGCGCTGGCCCCGGCCGGGGGCAGGCGGAGCCGTCAAGGCCTCCGCCCCGCGGCGATGCTACGAGGCCGCAGGAAGTGGGCGGCTCGCGGTCCCCTCCGGCGTGGGGCTTGCCCGGGGCGGGGGCTGGGAGGCCAGGCCGCCGGCTGACCGCAGGGCCGCCTCGCTGTCCCAGAGCCCTGGGGAGTCCCTGTGGCGGAGCCGGTCCCTGCTCAGTGACCGCTGACGGGCCACCCCCTCTGGCTCCGACCCTCCCCGCGGCCTCCCAGCACGTGGCACCAGAACATCTGCCCGGCTGCCGGCTCCCCCCTGGGGCTGAGCTGCGGAGACACCCCTGGGCTGTTGCTGCTGTGCCCCTTCCTCCCAGAGCCACCACAAAGCGAGGCTCCCGCCGGGCGTGGTTCTTGCTGTGCAGAGGGTGTGCTTCGGGGTCGGAAAGCTCAGGAGGCCTTTCTGTGGATGTTTAGGGCTTTGGTGCTGCTGCCCCACAGACAAGAGGGGCCTGCGGAGCAAGTCGCCCTGAGGCGTGGCCCTGGGCTCCCGAGCCGCCCCTTCCCTGGGAGCCCCCGCGGGGGTGGCCCTGCCGGGCACTGGTGTTGGGCGGCGGGGGCCTCCTCGGCAGAGGCCGTGCGGGTCGGGCAGGCGGAGGCCACGGCCCGGGGGCCCCACGCAGCCGGGCGCAGGCGGGTGTGGCACGGGCGGCGTTGGTGGCCTTGCTCCCCCTTCTCGGGCTCAGGGTGCCCTGAGGTGCCCTCAGGGAGGGAGCACATTTCATTCTGTTGAAGATGCTTTGTTCTCAGGTCCTGAGAGCTGTTGGGGACACATGGTGAATGTTTTGCTCAGAGATAATTTGGAACTGAGCGTTCCGCGCGATTTCTGGGCGCTGTTCCCGAGCCTTCCCGTCACGGCCGGGCAGCTGACAGGTCTTGGCTCCTCAAACGTTTCACCTTCTCTCCACAGAAGCCCCAGTTCTGTCCCGGAGGCGCCGCCGCGGCTTCCTCGCTCTCAGAGCCCCTCGCTCAGCCGGGGGGACCCCTGTGGAGGAAGGAGCGTCTCCCATCCCCCTCGTGTGTGATCTTGGTGTCGCAGGGTGTCGGGGCGGCAGGCGCGCCTGTGGCCGGGCCCGTGTCAGCAGCCCCGCGACCCGGACGGGCCCTGCAGGACCAGCGGCAGGAACGGCTCCCGTAGGTGCCGCCACAGCTGCGGGCGGCCGCGCGGCCTGGAGGTCGCCCACGCCCGGGCCCCCGACCTGCGGCCACGTCACCTCGCTGGCAGGAGGGCCGTGCGGGTGGGATGAACGTACGGACCCTGAGTCGGGGGAGTCCTGGGCTACGGGGTCCTGTGCGGACACAGGTCCTCCTGTGAGGGGCGCCGGGGGGGGGCGGGGCGGAGAGGGACCCGAGCGACGGCTCGGAGGCCAGAACGGGTGTGGGGACGCCATGGACGGTCCCAGAGGGCCCCCCCTGGAGCCTCGGTAGAAACCGGCCTGCTGCCTCCAGCACCTCAGCTCCCAGCCCCCGGAGCCCGTGCCGACGACCTGGGCAGCCAGGCGTGGGGGCCTGGGGCTGTCTGGGGGGCTGGGTTTTCCTAGGCTGCCCCTCGGTGCCACCTGGGCCCCCCGCGAGGGCCCTCGGTGCCTGGGGCTGGCTGGGCGGGCCGCTCTCCAGGACAGGGCGCAGGGCACGCCGTGGCCTTCCGGCCGCCACCGTCTCCCGGACGGTCGCACTGGCGGCAGCGCGTCACACCACAGCTGCTCACGCCGGCATCATGGACGCGTGGCCCAGCCGAGGGCTGTGCCCAGGCCGCACCCACGTCCCGGGCGGCAGAGGCACAGCGGCCGAGAGGAGGGCGCGACCCAGCGTCCCCGGGGCCAGGGCGGGGGTGGAAGGCAGCTGCGGCCCCCGTGCCGGAGGGCGGCTCCCCGGCCGTGAGGAGGGAGGGGACCCTGACACACCGTGCGCAACCGGCCGGGACGCAGGGCCTCGCGCTGGGGAGTCAGCCCCCCCCAGCGGGACACAGGCCGCGGGGCCCAGTCCTGTGAGGGGCCTGCAGCGCTCGCCCCCCAGTGGGCCCAGCGGGCGGCGGGTGCCCGGGGCCGGGGAGGGACACCGGGGAGTGGTGGTCGCTCAACAGGGGCAGGTGGCGGTCTCGCTGCGACACCGCGGACGGACTTCGCCCCACTGCCCGCCGTCCTTACAGACAGCTCAGGGGCTCGATTTTGTGTGTATTTTATCACACACACACACACACACACACACACACACACCCTTGGTGGACATAAAACTTTGTCCTCCTTGCGGCTGCAGCAAAGCCTAGGCCTCAGCCCTACCCTCTGCCGGCCCCCCAGGCGGCCCCGCGCCTGGCCCGGCCCGCGCGCTCACCCGCTCCTCCTCCGCCCGGATGTCCGGCATGGTGCTCAAGCAGAGGCCGACCGCCGTGACAGCCACGAAGGCCACGGACACACAGGCGAAGAGCTTGCCGGCCAGCCCCGAGTGTGGGTTGTCCACCATGTCGCGCAGGCGCCACCCGCCGCGCGCCAGGCGTGCGCGGGGCCCCAGGGCGCATCTGGGACTCCCTGGCGCCGCGCGCTCCGCCGGCCCGGGCCCCGCGCGCGCCTCGGCCGCCTCCTCCTCGCGGCGGCGCAGGCGGCGCAGGCAGCAGCGCTCCAGCCGCGCCTCGTCGATGCCCCAGTAGGCCAGCTCGTCGCGGAAGGCCAGCGCGCAGGGGCCGCGCAGCAGCCGCAGCTTGTCGGCGCGCAGCAGCGCCACGATGGCGCGGAAGGCGCAGGGGCTGCGGTCGAAGAAGAACTCGTCGCGGCTCACGTCGTAGTCGTCACACACGCGCAGCAGCTCCTCGTGGCCGCGGCAGGTGCGCAGCCGCTCGAGGCGCGCGAGGGGGCAGCGGGCCAGCGCCGCCCAGGCCAGGCGCACCCTGCAGCCGCCCACGTTGATGATGACGTGTCGGGTGCGGCCGCCGCCGCCGCCGCCGCCGCCCAGGGGCTCCTCCGCGGGCCCAGGGAGCAGGGCCATGGCCCCATGCGCGGCGCCGCGGTCAGGAGGCTGCGCCTGTGAAAGAAACGGAGGGAGCGTCAGGCTGGGCGCATCGGGCCGGCCGGCCCCCCGCGTGCGTGACCCCCGGGCCTGGGGGCCCCGCAGAACCAAGGGCTCCCTCCCGCCCGCCCCCTCGGGTCCTCCCTCCGGCACACCTGCCGTGTGCAGGGGACCCAGAGATTGGGCCGCCGCCCCTCTCCCGGACCCGGGTTCCGCGGCGGCCTGCCCCGTTCACCCGAAGGGGACTCGCTGCCCCGCGGCCGGGAAGGAAGCCCAGCCGCAGCGGCTGCCTGGGAAGCCTGGGCCCACAGGACACCAGCCTGTTCCCTGACGGTCACCCCGGGATGGTCACGGCGGGGGGCGGGGTTAAATCTAAGAGGCTTCATCATCCCCGCCCGGCGCGCAGGCGGCTCTGCCTCCTCCTGCCCCAGGTCCCTGCAGGGCAGTGTACCCAACTGTGCCGCCGGCCGCCGGCCCCTTCGGCAGCCACATCAAATGTGCGCTCCCAGTTCTTCACAGGTGGGAAGAGCCATGGCAATAACCGTGGAGAAAACTGGATGGTCAGCAGAACCCAGAACTTCTGCTGCAAAAAGCTCTCTTCCCCCAGGACATACGTCTACACATATCAGCCTAAACGATGTGCTACTTTTTAAGAGTTTAAGAAAAAGGCTGACAGCCTAATAGAAAACAATGGGCAAGTTGTCACTAAGTTTACAGCAAAGGAACAAAGTGGCACTTAAACATCTGAGAAGAGGGGCAGCTTCATTCATGACAGCAACATACGCATCCCTGGGGCCCACGCCCTTTCAGATGAAAGCACCACGTTGTGCGGTCCCTGCGACGCCCCCATTTCTGACGGAGAGCTCACTGCGCCCCGTGACAGGAGGGGGCGGAGCCTGGAGGGCTCCTCCAGGACATGGGACCTGGTGGGGTTGCACCCTCAGGGCCAGGGTGTCCCGGGAAAACCTGCCTTGGCTGAGGAGAGGCTGTAAGGCCCCCCGCCTGGCCCGAGGGAGGACGCGCGGGTGCGCACCTGCTTCCTGCCGGCGAGCTGGGCTTGCGGCCGCGATCCTGGCCCGAGAAACTAGGCTGCGGAGTGAGCCCCGTGAGGCGCGGCCTCCAGGGGCGGCCGGCCTGAGGCGCCTGTGCCCGGGGGCGTTGGGTGAGGCCCAGGCACCTGTCAGGACAGGTGTGCCCAGCGCTCAGTACCCAGAAACTGGGGTGCTGCTGAAACCTACAGGGCAAGGGGCTGGGGCCGCGCCCCAAATGTCAGCAGTGCCACCGTCGAGAGCGACACGCCCCCAGTTCCAGCCTCCTAGGGTGCCCACCGACGAAGCCCCAACTGAGGGGACTTCACAGGCAACAGCCCACGTGGGCAAACGCCAGCCGGCACAGGGTTCGCCGGAGGGGGCTCCCGAGGACGTGAGGGAGTCGCATCATCAAAGATAAAGATGTGACAGAAGGAGTTAGAAGCGCAGCGGAGGGGTGACATCACGGGAAAGACGAGGAGGGTCTCAGGGAGGGACGCAGCTGCCAGACGCGCGCGGACGGAGCCGGGGAGGGCCCTGGTAGGCAGGGGTGCGGCTGGGCCGGCGGCACCCTCGCCCGCAGGTGCGCCCAGGAGTCAGCAGGAGGCCGACGTCACACTCATGGGGGGAAGCGATGGTCTCTGTTTACAGGAAATCCCAGGAGAGGAGGCAGCGAGCGGCCACGCGAACAAGTGTGTCAGGGCTCAGGGCCTCCAAGCGTCGGGGCCGGCGCCGGCGGGAGGCGAATCCCACGCCAGCTGCGCGTTGGGGGCCTGGGAGCTTTAGTCCCTGCAATGAACGGACACAGTGGGGCCTGGGGGCTTTAACCTGGAAGTAAGGAAGCCAGGCTCGTGCCTTTGCTTGGGGGAAGGCCGGCCTCAGTGCCGCTGCCGGGGGCCGCCCGTTCCCAGCGTGAGTCCCAGGCGCTCGGGGCTGGGGCGGGGGCGCCCTCGGCGGGTCGTCGCGGGTGGCCCGGGTCCACTTCCTCGCGGGCCGAACGCGCTCCAAGCCCGAGAGGCGCCTTCCCCAGCCCCCTCCTGGAGTCCTGCCCGCAGCCCCAGCACCCGGTCCCCGGGGCGCGAGCCCGCTGCCCACGCAAGCCTGCCCACGGCGGCAGCTCCTGGCGGGGAACCAGCGCCCGCAGGCTCCTCGAGAACAGAGAACACAAACCGAGGGAGGAGACGCCAATTAGGGACGGTCGCTCCTGGGGGCTGCGGAGGCAGAGCTGGCAGAGTGTGAGGGCGCCTGTGGGCGTGTGTGCGCGCGTGTGTGCGTGCGGGCATGTGTGAGCCTGCACGTGTGTGCGCGCGGGTGTGCACCCGGCAGGCCCCGTCGGGTGAGAACCGGGGGGACGGGGGACAGGCGGGTCGGGACGGTCCCGGACATCGGGGGGCCCGCCCGCAGCCGAGGGAAGGCCCGTCCTGTGACTGACGTCCCCCTTCTGTGCGCAGGCCTCAGAGCAGTGGCTGGGAGGGCCTGGGACCTCTCTCGTAGACCAGGAGGTCTGGGACTTCCAAAGAAGCGAAGTACTGTCTTTTCGGGGAGAAATTTTCGGAAAGAGGCAGCGTTCTACCAGGAGACAGTTCTCTTTAAAATGGGACCCTGAATAGACTGGGACCCAGAGCAATGCTGTCGGGGACCCCTGCCTCCCACGTCCTGTGCCCCCACACCCCACGAGCCCCAGGCCCCCCGGTCCCCGGGCCCCCGGGCCCACGCCGGGGGCCTCCCGGCTGCAGGCAGGCCTCCCTTGGCGCCCCATCTCCGGGGGCCTCGCCTGCTGACTTGCTCTGCCCCCCTTCCCTTCCTTGGGGTGCTCCTGACCGCCCGGCTGGTTTTGCTGGGATCGTTCCCCAAATACGCTGCTTGCTTTGGAGTCCCTGTCTTGGGACTTGCTTGGGAGGAGGCTGAACGCGCTGGCAGCCCACGCGTCCTGGAACTTCGTGGGGACGGGGACGGGCAGGAAGGGAGTACGTCACAGAGATCGTCCACTGCTGCCCTCACTCGCTCACCGGACGATTTTCACGGCCCCGGGCAGCACACCCCTGGGGACGGGACTTTCTCTTCCTGTGCGAGCAAGAAGGGATGTCGTGACGCTACCCGGGCCGCTTTACCGGGTCTTTCGTAAGAATCGGTGCCATTTTATGCTATGTCTGCGTGCCCCAAAATGCTAGTTTCTGCCCTGCCAATCATTTTCTCTCCCCAGGCAATTTAGGGAGCTCAGAGCATTTGTCATCCAAACTGTCACTTTTAGAAGGAACAGGTGCTTGCAACCGTGACACTAGGACATGGGCGTGCACAGCTGTCCGCACACCAAGAGGGACGCCTCCCTACGCAGGGTCCCATGGGTGCCATGCGCTGGGGGGACCGGGGGACCAGAGCAAAGCCCAGTGAGTAGGGAAGGGCCAGGGCCTTCGCCTCAGGCCCACGGCGGCTGCATGTCAGTTTCTTACTGAACCTTTTTTAAAGGACTATTTATTTTTAGAGCGGAAGGGAGGGAGAGAGGGAGAGAAACATCCCTGTGTGGTTGCCTCTCATGCGCCCCCCACTGGGGACCTGGCCTGCAACCCAGGCCTGGGCCCCGACTGGGAATCGAACTGACGACCCTTTGGCTCGCAGGCCGGTGCTCTGTCCACGGAGCCACGCCAGCCGGGCCGATTCCCACCTGATCTCGACACGGCGCGCTCAGGCAGCCCGCGGGGGGAGGCCACACCGCCCCCGGGCATCCCCATTCGTGTGCAGGCCCGGCCACCAGACGCGGCGCTGGGCGCGGCGGGGGGCCCCTGCCCCCGGGCTGGGGTGCGGGTCTGTGTCCGTTCGGTCACGCCGCTCCCCTCTCCCCACCTCCTTCCCAGCAGCCATCCCGGGGCCGCAGATGGGACGCGTGGGCTTGCCGTGCTTTGCGGTCAGGATACTGACCCCCCGGCATGACGCGGGGTCACAGGGACAAGCACGGGAAGCAGGCCATGTGATGAGAAGGAAAACGTGATCTACGTCAGGTTCGCTTTTCTCCCAGGGCCCACCCGCCCCGGCCACGGCCGAGAGGCCAACGCGAGGGCCAGCCCCCTGCGCGCGGGGTTCCGTTCTCGCTGTTCTCCCGAGACAAACGTCATGTGAATCACAAAGGGAGTTACCCATGGTTCAGAGCAAAGAGCCTCCCGGAAACAGCCAATTGTATGTAAGAGGCGGCTCTCGAGGAGGTTTCCATTTAGGGTCATTTCCATAATTTCTCTCTGATTGTTGAACTCAGTTGTGTTTAATTATTTTGTTTTGCAGCGGGTTTATTTCCTACGTGTCAAAGCTACAAGGACCACAAAAGCCTCCTAGAGTGTGTATACGAACAGGCCTCAGAGCGCACTAACTGTATCTATTTTCAGCCCAGTTGTTAACAGAAATTGATGATTTCTTTTCAGTGATGATTTATGAGAACCATGCAGAATCTCCAAATCTGTAAGACATGTAGAAATTTGGTAACTAATAACTCTTATCGCCAAAGAAAGGTGCCTACATCCCGGCTGCGTGTGTAGCTCTAAAGATGTTTTTAAATTAAACTTGTGGTTTGGAGGCTGCAGAGATCCTTGTATCCATCGCCCGGTTTGCCCAACGGTAGGACCTGCAAACCGCGGCCCAGCCTCCACAGGACGCGCGCGGGCTCGGGCCGCTCCCCCCGCCCCCCCTGTTTCCCGGCCTGCACGTCCCTGCTCCGGCCTCCCGGGCAGGGCTCGGGCTCCTTCCGGGATCTGAGTTCCATGAAAGCTGCTGCTATAAACGCTCCCGCAGAAGGTTCTCCTTCCTCTGCGACGAGTGCCCAGTGAAGCAAACGCTTGCTATTTTTGATAAAGTCCAGCTCATCATTTCTCCTTTTATTGACTGCACTTTTGGTGTCAGGAATAATTTGCCAAGCCCGGCATCGCAAAGTTTCTAAAATATATAGCTTTAGATTTCACATTTAACCACAGTCCATTTGGAGTTAATTTTTGGATAAGGTGT